AGAGAATCTACAATACACAGCGATTCATGAGTTACATGTACCTGTAGAGCAGAAGTGCAGAGAGACCAAAAAAATGAAGAGTTTGAACATGATTCTGTTGAGGGTTCAACATTTTTTTAGAGGGGCCATGGGCCCCCCTGACCTCCTCTTGGGGTCGCCACTGGTAGAGACAGTTTAATGCTGATATCTGATGATTTCCTGCTGTAGTTTACTGCTCTCTGCTGCAGCTGTGGTCCTCCTCAGTGTGTGTTTGTGTGCTGGATTATCACAGAGGGTTTTTGTAGCAGGAAGACACAAACTGAGTCACTGTGTCTACTAGCTGCACAGTAATACATGCTGCTGTCTTCTGGCTGCAGTTTCTGCACTTTGAGCTCAGATTTCTTTGATCCGTCTCCACTTATTTTGAAGTGATCTTCGAATTCCTTCTCTAGGACTGTATTGCTATATTGAATATAACCAATTAATTTAAGAGTGGAACCAGCCGTGGGTTTCTGGTACCACAGTGTAGTGTCATATCCACTTATTGAATGACTGCAGTTGATTGTTGCAGGACTCTGAGGACTTCCTAGTATTGATGGTGGATGCTGATGCACCTCCTTGCTCAGTGACAGATCTGCAACAAAATACAAAAGGGGTTAAAATTAGACAAAAGAGAAGGTTTGTTAAATTTGACTAAATTTAGAATCAAACCCACCAGAGAAGCAGAGCACCAGCAGCAGAGTGATGATGATGATCATGATGTCTTTATCTTCCTCTTCGTCTCTTCAGTGACTGACGAGCTGAACTCATGTTAGAGGTTAAACCGAGAGGGGAGGAGACACGATCTGAGCTCACTGTACAAACATCAAGTTCACCTCACATTCTGGTTACATGCATTTATACAGTGTCCATTTTTTATTTATCATAAAAAATGAGCGTCATGCCAACAGCAAACATTTCTTCGTGTCCGTTGAACTGGCTGGGTGTTTCGGAAAATGTTCCGATCCAAACCTGCTTCTATGTAAGTGGACGAATTTCAAAAGAACTGAAATGGTTTGTTTAAAACAAAATGTGTGACACAAAACACAAGACGTTTTTCGAACCAATTTTATGGAGTAACAGAAAAACGTAAAAAAAAAAAAATGGCAGTGAAAAATTAAAAGTAAATTAATTTACATAATTTAACTATGAATATAATCATATGACATATTTGTGGGATAAAAGTTGATAGAATAACAACCACAATAAATGCACCTTTCACAATACAAAAACAATGTGTTATGTTATTTGCATATTTTCCTATTTTACATACA